GCATTTGAGCTTGAAAAGGATCTCACTTCTGCTACAGCATGGGGCTCACAGTGGCTGGTGAACTTTAATTCAGATAAAACTCAAGTTTTTTCAGCCAATCGTTATTGCAATAATTTAGACCTTCCTATATTTATGAAAAGTAATCAGTAATGTACTCGATGAGTCATCTACCCTTCCTCTTCTAGGATTAACTCTTACTTCTAATCTTTCTTGAAAACCATTTATCAACTTCGTTGCAAACTTAGCATCTGCGAAAGTTGCATCTCTTTATCAAGGTCGACGCTTTCTTACTCCAGATTCTATTCTCTATCTCTATAAATCTCAAATCCGGCCTTGTATGGAATACTGTTGCCATGTTTGGGGCGGATCTTCTAATGATGCCCTTTCTCTTTTAGACAAGATGCAAAAACGCATTTTTTACATAGTTGGGCCTACTCTTTCAGCCAATATTCAACCATTATCACATCGTTGTAATGTTGCTTCTCTTTTTCTTTTCTACAAATACTATGTCATCTACTACTCATCATTCAATTAAGTCTCATCATTTTTTTGTTTCTGTTCCTAAGTGCTCCAAAAACTCTTATTTCTTTAGTTTTTTTCCTCGAACATCAGTTCTTTGGAATTCGCTTTCTTCATTTTGCTTTCCTGATTCGTATAATCTGCAATCTTTAAAGTCGTCTGTCAATCGTTATCTTGCTCTACAATCTTCACCTTTTTTCTTCCAGTAAATTCCAAATCTAATTAGTGGTTTCTTGCAGCCTTGTTTGAAGAAAAGATGTTTAAAAAAAGCAACTTACTATGACTGTAAGTGTGAAAACACCCGAAACTGCCAATCGGAAGATTTAAAAAAAAAATTAACCCCGTGTCTTCCGAATGTTTTTCGGCTGAATTATTTGCAATAAGATTTAAAGTCTTTATTTCTAGCCTTTTGAGCTTTCACTGAAATAAGTCCGATGGGTAATATAAGGTTTTTAATAATGTCATGCCCATTCATCAATACTTCGTGCACAGATTAAGCCATGTAATACCATGGATAACGGAACACATATAGTCTAACAGTATCAAAACAATAATCATTGAATTTTAAGCAATCTATTTTATATTCTGAAGAGAGTGTTAGCATGGAAATGTAAAATCTGAATATAAGTTTTGATCAATACCCGAAACTTCTGCTGTTTGTTTATATGCTGCAAAAGCACGCCTTAATATAATGTCATCGTTGCTTGTTCCAGAACCACAACTTTCAAGGAAATCAACAACAAGTCCTATTTTGTTTATAAAATCAGTCATAAATTCAAATTAAATCAAATAGATATATCACAAGAGCAACAGGGAACTTCACATTGTTGTGAAAATATAATGAAGTTTAAAAAAAAAATGTTTTGGCTAGTAGCACCATCAAAATCAGCCTAACACGTATGTATTACTGTTTTTATTGCTTTATCGTTCAATATCCAGTGTTTCAGCATATTTCAGCATGGTTTCTGAACTGCACAGATTCTTTTTAAACTATGAATCATTAAATCTTTTAAAGGAGCTGAAGCTGAATAGTCCTTTACTGTTATATTTGCAGGATTAAACTTCAATTTTAGATCCTGACATCATTGTAAGCTGCATAGATTTTTCCAAAGCTCCACTACTAATCAATTGATAGGAAGCTTTTGTCAGACTTCAATTGTTAAAGCCAGTGCTTCGTCTGCTGAATATTTACTTGCTTTATTTTTATTTTAAATATTTAAAACGTTCTTGGCAGCAATAAAAATAGATTCATCTTTTAATTTTTTACTAGCAGCAAAAAAAAATTCATTGGCTGAATAAAATTCAACTAATAAGTCAGATACATTCCGTTTTTTAGTTTTATTAGAACAATCACCTAATGTAACTGGTTTTTGACCACGTCTACTGACAGTTGGTTCATTGTCTTATTCTCTGACAATTAAATATTTATTAAACAAAATTGAAATATTTATTAAGCAAAAATGACGTATAGCAGATTTCCACTTTTTTTTACAAGTAAACAAATTCTTGAATAGCGTGCCTAAAATCAACGTATTTAAATTCAGCATTTTTCGGCTGAATAATTTTTAATATATCTTCAGTAATATTTTCTTTTGTGCTAAGATTGTTTCTTCGGAGAAAATTATAAATGTCTAAGTTTTCTTATAACAAATATTTAAAAGTTTAATATTATAATATATATGCCGCATGGACTACAAATTCTTGTTAGTAATTACCCAGTGGGCATTTCGACGTCGAACGAACGTCGAGCGACGTCGGATCTCGACGTCGGATCGACGTTGGGTTTACGTTGGAAATGGAAATGTTATTTGACGTCGGATAAACTGACATCGCGCGACGTCGGCATTCCGATGTAAATCCAACGTGTTTTTTGAAAACTTAAAAACGTCGCCTTTGGCAGGAATCGAACCTCGGTCTATTAGATACTAATTCCTATGCGCTTACCACTACACCACAAGGACATATTAATTGATTCGTTTATTTAGTAATTTATACTTGTAGCTATTTGGGAATTATTACTTTGATAAGAAATAATTTTGTTTAAATATTATATAAATATTAAAACGAATAGTTATATATTATAAAAAATGTATACTCGAAAATGTTAATAGTTAAAAAACTATGCTAGTGCATCATACAAAACCTCATGATGTTTTATCAACCTTTATTCAAACTTTTTTTCATTAATAAAAAAACACGCTTAGTTCACATAATTATTGAAGAGCGCAATTGCACACATATTGTTGGGTTTGGATTAAATTTTCATCAGCGATGTCTTACGACGTTGTTCCGACGTCGTTTTAAGGACGTTGGATTGACGTCGGAAGACGTCAAAAGACATCGGAGTACGTTAATATTATGACGTTGCCCGACGTCTTTTTATCGACGTTGGATCGATGTCAGTACTGCGACGTTTTTTGGACGTCTTTTATAAGATGTCGGAACAACGTCAAAATACATCGAAACGACGTCAGGGGATGTTGAGATAAAGACATCGCCCGACGTCATTTTACTGACATTGGAACAACGTTGGAATAGGTCTTTTGACATCGCTGATGAAAATCAAACGTAAATCCGACGTCGGATTGACGTCGGGTGCCCACTGGGTAAATTACTAAAAGTGTTAGTAATTTAAATTAAAGGTAATTAAATTACTATTAGTGTTAGAAATTAAATTACTAACAACTACGATTAATATTGTGTACTTAGCACAAATAAAATACTGATAAAACAACAAAAAGGTTAAATGCTGGTATGCAAAATTAACAACCATAACAACCAAGTTAAATCATATATAAAATTTGAACGGAGATTTAAGGGGACAAACAATCAAGTGACTTGCTGTTGGCTTGCAGTGGCTTGTGAAGTTCAACCAAGATAAAAATCAGTTACTTATTTCATTTTTTTTGCAATGTTGTTGATCCCTATCGTGATAAATCATCAGCCGAGAACCACGAGGCCTTACGTTCATTTTTTGTATTTCCGTGAAAATTAATTTTTAAAATTTAATTTGTTAAGACTTACTGCCATACTGTCCAACTAATTTTTTAAATATTTTAAAAAGTTGTATCATTCTTAAAACTAGATTTATTGGACACATAGTCTATTGATTGTTGAATATTTATTGATAATAATCAGAAAAAACAAAATATGGACATGCGGCCTCTTGGTTCTCGGCTGACGAAATGATAGCACTCTTACTGAGTCCCATAATTTACGTCTTCTTGGATTATCATTCACTACTAATCTCAAATAAAACCAAATATCCATCGCAAAGTTAGCATCTGTTAAAATTCTTTTTATTACGCTTGCTATTTTCCTTACACCCAACTCCATTGTCAATTATATATTTGTATGTATTGGATTGAAAAAGGTTTTCTGTAAACTGTGTAGGAAATTATCCTGTTTTGTATTTTAGCAGAATAGTATATAAACATAGATATTAATTTGATAAATGTTTAGCGCTTTCATTTCTTTTAATAGAGGTTTAACATGGGTAAGTTTGTTTTTACATTGTATTGCCATAGAAGCATGTTTTTGTGCTTCCCAAGCTTCGTTGCTATAGGTAAGATAACTATGTATAAAGGAAATTAAATAAGTTTTAAATGGTTTAACTTTTAGAAGTACACCAAGAATATTTTTATGAAAAGAATTACACCAAGATTTATAGCGTCAACGGCGTTTATGTAAGCTGTCCGTGAAAATTTTGTGTCAATAACTATTTCAAGAAATTTAATTGTTTTGGTTCTTTGAATTTGTTTGTAATTGATACTTAATGAGGGAAGAATTGATGGAAGAGCCTATTTTGTTGTTTTGAGTAAAATAAAATATATTTTCAATTTCTTATGCTTTTAATGATAACTTATTAGCACTGAAGCATAGATTAAATTGTTGAACCTCAACTCAATGATTAACAAAATGGCCGTATAACTTAAATTAAACTTTACAACCTTCCACTCTGACTATTACTAAAATCTGCTTTGAAAAGTTTCTGTTGGGTTTCTTTTGATTTTTTTTTTTGAATACATTTTACTTCTTGTTTAGTTATGTTTTCATGGTTAATTTTATTAACAATATTGACAGCAACAGCTCCAAAATTCTTCATTAATATTACATAGTTCTGTCATAGCTAAGCAAACGTCAATGTATCCCTTAATCAAGTTTATCAGCATCTAAGTAAAGTTTTTATAAAGAATCCTAGTTTTATAGTTTATTCCCTGTTATTATTTTTTCTACCATATTATGTTTTAATTTTGTTTTTTCAACCATTTTGAATGGCAGTTGCACCTAACTTTATTTGAATTTATATGGTATGTGCGTTGCTTTGCGTTTTTAAAATACATAGTATTTTGCCAGGCAAAAAAAAAAAAACTAAAACAAATTATTTTTAATTTTTTTTACAATAAGAAAACTGAATAAATTACGTATAAAAATCATCCAAAATGAAGTAATTTTTTTTGAATTTTGTGGCGTTTTTTTTTTATAGTTAAAGATCGTTGCGTTAAATATTAAGTTAAAATTAAAAAAAAAAAGTTACAAAAAAACAAACAAAACAACAACAAACAATTTAAGTTTGATAACTCTTGGTTTGATACATTTCTTTAACTTTGAAATAACTTCGATATTTTAAACATATTGTATATACTTCTGCTTTTTTAAAAACAAAATCCCGTATTAACCAATTTTTTAAATCAATTTCTTCTTGATGGCGATCAATAACTAAAACGATAGAAAAAAGGATAATATCTAAAGGTATTAAAAGTAAATAATTTCAAAGTTCTAATTGAAAGCGGCTATGCGTTAAAGTTGCCGGTTTAGAAGCAAAAAATCTTTCAAGAATTAAGTTTAACAATAAAAAAGTGAAAAATTTTAAATGGAATTTTCAACCTAAATTTAAAATATTGATAATTCTTTAAAATTTATAAATAACATTTTACTCAAAACGGTTATTATGACATGTTTGTAAAACACATGTCATAATACTCATTGCTGAAGTTTGATAAAAAGTACATACTTACAGGAAACTGGCGATTCTTCATCTTCAGACATCTCTGATGTCACACTGAAATAGCCTGCTGCCAGGGGCTTCAGTACATACATCAACTATCTTAAAGCCTGCTACTGCAAAGCTACATCAACTTAGGGTTTGGCATGGGGCAGCTTTTTTTGGTCTAGATGATTCTTCAGATTATTTCAATAATGATCCTCAATTTCATAAAATAATACAAAAAGTATTAATAAACCTTGGGATTCACCTGTACCTCCAAACTCTTTGCAGAAGTTCAATATTTACTCAGAGAAGTTGAATAAACAAAATTTTGCTCAGAGAAGTTAAATGAACAATATTTTGCTCTGAGAAGTTGAATGAACAAAGTATTTGCTCAGAAAAGTTGAGCATAATTTTTAACATAGTAAGTTATAATTGAAAAGTTTTTTTGTCTGATGATTGGAAATCTTTATTCATAGCTTTAACTTTTACAATTTTTTAAAGACTTTTTCATATATTATTTTCAAAACGTCAGAGTGTTAATGAACATTTTATTGTGCAATAATCAAAATATCAAAGCTTATACCCAACTTTGAAATCCATTTGAAATTAACTCTTAGCAAAGAAAACATAATATTCATTGAGTTTAAAGTTTTAACAGTTGCCGATGATGCATTGTTCATTATATAAACGTTTATTTAGATTTATCTAAATCTAATAAACTAATAAAGGTAATATAATATTTTTATAGACGATATTATTTTCGAAAGTTTTATCTAACATACTGAGATAATATTTTTATAGATGATATTATTTTCAAAATTTTTTTTTTTAATTTTTAAAAGTTATACAATTATTTATACTCAGAATAAAAAATATTTTGAAGAAATTATTTACAAACATTGTTTTAATATGAAATTTTTTATTTTACAGTGCAGTCTGTATCTCAAACGTTAACGAAAATTGTTTTGTGTCAGAGCCAGAAATTTAATGCACGCCAGCGAATTTCATAATTCATAAAAGAATTATAAATCCATCAGCAAGTATATATTTTTATCGTTAAAAATGTTTCCCCCTCTGTTTTTAACAAAATACTCTTTGATGGTTTTTAGTAAATGAGATTTTATATTAATTTAAGTCTAACCAAAAGTGGCTTTTTTTATTGCCAGGTTGTATATTTTTGCAGGTTAGTTAATTGGGACAAATTGGAAATAAAAGCAAAGGAGATTGAATATGTCATTTACTAAGAACAGCTTTTAAAAATGGTCTAGCTTTAAAATTAAACTAGGCAGGAAGAGGACAAAAATTGGAATAGAAAAAATGTTGATTGCGTATGTCGCTATTGGTAAGTGGTTTAGAAAAGTTATTATTTTCAGTTTCAATTGTGCATTACACAATTATTTTCAATTTGTTATGTTTGTTTGGTGCAAAATTAAACAAACAACTAATTTTTTCCAGAAGCGATGAGGTCGAATAAGCATAGCGTAGGCAGGCATGTAATAGAGATGATGGAAGAAAAGCTGATAATTGTGGGCATCAAATATCATTAGCTAAACACGATTCAATCACAACTATATTATTCAATATCTAAACTACTTCATAAATTTTATAGGGAATTTTTTATTTAAAAATTGTGTTAGTTTTTGGTTTATGTTTAGAGTTTGCAATATGTATAATTAACAGAAAAATTATGTAAATTAAATAAATAGATTCTTATACTTGCACCTTACATTTTTGCATATTTGCTCTTTTGCTATGCAGCAATGCAAATCATCTATTTGTAACAACGATCTAATGTTGCATAAAACGTTGGCATGATATAACATTTATAGTTGAATTCATACAATATTGTTGAATTTATTAATTTGTTGAATACATAGGATATTGGAAAATATTGTATACAACGTTAGACTAACGTTGGGTTAATGTTGTATACAACATTGGACCAATGCTTAAACAATGATCAAACCTGCATTGGACCAATATCGAATTTCAACGTTGGACCAATATATTGCGATTCATTGGCCCAACGTTAGGCCAATGTAAGCTTGCTATCTGGGAGATTAAGTTTTTAAATTTTGTCTGAGGACGATTTTTGATTGTAAACTTTTATTTGGCAAGTTTTAAATCACAGTCAAAAATTGAAACTTAATATTCAATATATATATATATATATATATATATATATATATATACATATATATATATATATATATATATATATATATATATATATATATATATATATATATATATATATATATATATATATATATATATATATAAGCATTACTTTTATATATAATTTGCTTCTCTTAGGTAAGTTGTTGCAATTAAAGAGACCTGCCCTAACATAGAATCAATTTAACGTCATAACTAAGAAAGAGGCGTTTCTCTATCTTCACACTTTTCAATATTTTTAAAGCTTGAACTTAACTAAACTCCACACAAACTAAATGTTTTTGTAGTGTTCTGAAACTTCTTCTACAACTGCAAAGGTTAGTTTGCGCAGTTAAAGTTTGTAGTTCAATTATTAAATTAATTTGCGAATTTTTTGTCGAGGGCTGGATGCTTTATTAAACTCCTTTGATGTGTTATCTTAATCTAGACTCATTTTTAAAAATGATCCCTTACCACAGATTCCAAGCTTAATAAGATAATATGTCAATTGTTTCATTTTAAGCAAAGTATGATTATTTCTTTTTAATTACCTAAATTAAAAATGTTTTTTTAATATTTTTGAAATAAAATATATTCTCCGTTACTGTGTCATGTTCTTTTAGCATTTGACAACGTAAAGAATTTGCAAAGCTACTTTTCTTCTTCTACTAATATTTCTGCAAAACATGGCTCAAACAGTTTCAAACCTGATATTATATTGAAACTAGATCCCAATTTCTTTATTATAGTGTTTAAAAATCCAATATCATGCTCTGTTATGTTTCCAATATCATGCATATTACAGCTGAACTGGATGTCCATGGTTCGAAGCCAACTGTGGTCATATATTCATCATTGGTAAGGAAAAAGGCGTGAACTTCCTAGTTAAACACTATTCCACGGTGCTCTGTGATAAAACTTTAAGAACATCTATTAGCATCTAAAAAAAAAAGAGGAATAAAACATCTTAGTTTAGTGCTCTTTTTATGCGAGAAAACTGCAACCTAACCTGTCATTGAATCAAGTGTGAGCCTATTGCGTAAGGTTTTATCACCGAGATTTCGAGCTGTGATGGACTCGACCAATGTCATGTTACCTAAAATGAGAGCCCCTCCAAACCGCATAAAAATAGATGACAGAACGATATTGGCGCTGTATCTCAACATCCTGTTACAAAATTATTAGTAGTATGTTACTGTAATGGGTAACAACAGATGACGAAAAACTTATTTGCAAAGAACTTATCTCTGTAGTATATCTTTTAGTGTTTCAAATGTCGTGACAACAAAACACGTGGCTTCGAGATGATTAAAAATGTAGTGACAATAAAGCACGTGGGTTCAAGATGATTAAAAATGCAGAAAAACATTTGCAGAAGCAAGAAATTTGTGCTACTTTGCTTCTGAACATCAGTGGAATCAATGTATTATCTATTATTTGTTTAAAGGTTAATGGTAGTTATGAAGCAGTTTTTGATGTTAGTAAATGAAAAGTAAAATAGAAATGGAAAGATAGAAACGTAGGCAACGTTTAAGACTGAAATGACTTAATGAGGAGCCTCCTTGATAGTCGAGGAGTGCGTATTACAAGCCCTTTATTAACCTTGAAGAAAACGTATTTATAGAAAAAAACCACTGATCAATAAAAAGAATAGGAAAATTCAAAATATACAGTTATTAAATTAATATCAAGAAACTAGGAACTGACGATATAGTTTGGTTGAAACCGCCTAATGCAAAGTACTATACCATGTGAAAAGCTAGCTACAATAATCTCATTGCACAAGAAATTTTAGAATATGGATAGCGTTCCTTGTCACCTGTAACACATTAAACCTCAATATGAAACTTATATATTATGCCTTATATCTGACGAGGAAGTAAATAATGGAAAAAAATTGTGAAGAGATTGCGGAAACCATGAAGAAAAAATTGAAGGTGTTTCCGAAGCAAGTGCATTTGCTTCGAAAACACTTTCAAATTCGATGTGCACTTCATGAAGTGCACATCAAAGTCGAGAATAGTCTTCAAGAAACAGACGTGTCTCTGCAACGAAATGCTCGAGAGCGATGCATACCTAAAAATATCTTGATTACTAATTGTATGGTCTTTAAGAGTCAAGAAGAAGTGTGGAAATGTTACGTAAAATGTTAAAATCCATAATTGTTGTTAATACGGTTTAAAGTGTAATCGCTAATATGTTTATGCTGGTTTTAAGCGTAATTTTTGAGGTTTCTAAATTATTATATATTGTCATCAGAATTTTTTGGAGACAAATTCTCATTAAGTTGAAAAAAAGAAAACATCTTAATTAATAATAAAAGACATTTGGTCTCGTGTTTGAGTAATAAATAAAGTTATGCCTGAGTAAGTTTATTAAATAAGAATTGATTAAAGTATATCAAAAATACATTAAAAATTATAAGAAACAACTTAGAACATCAAAAGTATCTTTATTAGTAATTTTATTAGTGATCTTGTTGCCAGAACCATATAAAAATTGCAATATAAATATAATACAATACAAGTTGTTTAAATCAAAATAACATTCTAAAATATTTGAAATAATAAATGGTATGGTATTTCAAAATAAATTTGAAATAATAAATTAAAAATCTCAAAAATGTTTAAATATATTATCCATTTAAAAAATAATACTCTTTAACTTATTTTAAAAAAATATATTATACGCGTCGCATGTTTCTGACGGTAATAACGACGTCGAGACGTACTTTTACCTGTACTTCCCCAAGCAATATTAGCATAGTTTATAAAGCTATGAATAATTGAATAATGTAGTTGTTTTAAATCATTTTTATTTATATAAGTTCTAGCCTTATATAGGATTCCAATGTTTTTTGAAACTTTTATTGATATATAATCAATATGAGTTTTCCAAGACTATTTTTATCGAAATAAATACCAAAGAGCTTAATAATAAAATCTTTAATTTCTACTCTATTGATAAAAATTTAAGGTAAATCTTTTGGCAAAAGACGTTTTTTTGTTGTGGAAAGGAAAAAAATCTATTTTGTTTTGTCAATATTATTAAGATTAATTTATTGCACTTGAACCAAGTAGAAATTTGTATAAGTTCCTGATTAATATTTAATTAAAGTTTGTTTATGTCTTTGTCTGATAAAAATTTATTGGTATCGTTAGCAAACATGATGTTCATATGATCAGAATGTTATTTAAAACATTAACATATATTAAAAAAAGAAGTCGACCAAGGATAGAAGTTAAAATTCTTCTGATGAAATAGTTCTTATTTTACTTTTATAACTGAATAACAAAAAAATTTTTTTTGAAATTATATCAACAAAAAAATTTATAAATTAGTTTTTTTTTACATAAATTATATAACTGTTTAAATTATTTTGCATCGTTTAGTCTAACATAATTAAACAATAAACTAAACGAATAATTCATGTTGAATCATATTTTTGAAAAGTGAAAATAGACACAAAATAGACAAATGATTGAACAATATTTGGTGTCGAAAATAAACCTATTAAGACTAAAAAATACATAGTTTTAAATCCCTATATTTGAGATTCAAAGAAGCATTGAGAAACATTAATGCATTGCGACAAATTTTTGTTGTCACAATGAAAAAAATCAAAATGATCGAAACGTTTTGAAAACATTTCGAAATAAATCGAAATGTTTCGACACTTTGAAACAATGAGGGGAGGGGGGCATTGTTTTAAAAAACCTAATACATAACTTATGAACTCCCGTAGTATATTTAGTAATATTATGTTTATTTATAAATATTATGTAAATTTATAAAAATTTATAAAAGTTATTTATAAACATTTAGTAAATGAAAAAAAACCTTTTTCGATGGCATAAGTAGATGAGCTAAAAATATTTTGATCGTACTTTACAATGTTTAATTAAACCAATAACTTACCATATTTTTTAATGAAAAAAGTTGTAAAATCTTTTATAATTGTCAGTAAATTCACTTTCGGCTAGCGAATAGCTAGCTACAATCGTAACGATAAAGAAAGCGATATGGCCACATGGATCGCTAGCTTTTTTAAATTAGCAAAAAGCTATCGATATTTGTAAAGATAAAGACAGCAATTTGGCTACGAGGACAGCGGCAGCTAGCTTAATAAGCTAAAAATCCACTGGCTATTGTAGCTTAAACCATACCGTATTAAATTGCTGTCTAAAAAATTTTGATAGGTAGTTACCAACCGGGTATTGATTTTTAGGTATTTTGTAGCTAGGTACAAAGCTACGACATGTAGCTAGCGACATATTGCTACAAAATCGCAATGTTTAAAGTTCAACTATTCTCATAATTATAATAGACTCAACACTAAGAATCGAATTTTTAAAGATGTTAAAGACATTATAAAAAAAATAAAAAAAATAAAAAAAAAATCGCTTGAAAATTGCTATAAAGCTAGCTAGTCGCTCGCTAGTTGCTCGCTAGTCGCTCGCTCATTTCCTACCGGGTTTCATGCAGGTAGAAGCAAAAATATTTTTAAAGTTTTGCACAATAAAAATTTTTTTATGTATCCATTAAAATTTCACAATTTTAATAGATACATAAAAAATGCAATAATTTCTAAATGAATATTATTTATGAAAACTAATAATGAATTAACATAAGCAAATATTCCCATTCAGCCGCAAGTTTGCAAAGATATTAACAAATAGAGTGTTCTCGTTTTTTTAAAAACAATAGAAACAATTACCATCAAAAGATATTGGATGGTATTGCCAATAAAATGTTAAATGTGATTGGCCAAAAATTTCAATTTTTGTATTTAAATTAATAGAAGAAAATTATAAAAAATAAAACTGTGTTACTTGTGTTGATTATTGTGCGAATTGAATGTTTTAAACCAAATTAAAAATTGAACTAAATAGACGGAATAATAGTACTGCAACCAACTAATCGGATTGTTACAAATTAATTGGATTGCAACCAATTAGTCGTATTGTAATAAACTATTCGGGTTAAACCAATTAGGTACTTAATGAGTAAAAACACAAATAAATAAATGACAACCCATGTTCAAAAAATGAGATTTTTGGCCAATGACATTTAACATTTTATTGGCAACACCATCCGATATCTTTTGATGGCAAAATGGCAATAATGATAAAAAAAGCTTATAAATGTATTAAATAATGTTATTTCATTATATAAAATTTATAAAAATTAGTTCAATTTCCGTGTTGCAACATGTTTAAGTGTTGTTGTAATATACATTAACGGGATTATAACACTTTTATTAGTTAGGTTTCAACATTTTAAACTTTTGTGATATGAATTTTGCAGCTAACTAAAACTTAAATTTTGTTAAATTTAAAATAGCGAATCTTTAAACATACTCATTGAACAAAAAAAATTATTTTTTTCACACAAACAGTAAAATTTTAATAGGTTAAGTTCTATAATTTTTAAAATTCGAACTCACTGTTTTAATTTGTGCTTTCTCACTGTTTTGACATTAAAAGTACAAACTTTAGTTACAAATAAGTTAACAACATACATAGCTACATAAATGTACCTATCGATACGTTGCAAATATTATTAACTTTTATATATAATTATAAAACTAAAGGGATACATTTTTTTACTTGAAAGTTATACGTCTGATATGACTGTCATTATTATAAAAATTTTTTAATCAAAACTGTATTAGAAGATAGTTAGAAGGTAAAACACTAAAAAATACCTTGATATGTCAAATCACAATATTTAAAAAATACCTTGATATGTCAAATCACAATATTTAAAAAATAAAACAGGAGTTGTTGGGTTCCAAGTCATCGTACTATAATTATCAAAATCTTCGTTAAACAAACAAAGTAAAGGAGACGTGCTTTCGTGAAACAACCAACTCACTATTTAAGATAACATAATTTAATTAGCTCAAATTTTTTATTTATTTCAAAAGAAATGCATTAATGACCCAGCGATTTATATTACAGCATAGATCGCCTTATTTTGTTTCAAATTTAAAATTTTATTTCATACAGTTTATAACGGGCATAAGCTATTACCTATATTGATAAAATCTTTATCTGTTAAAATACGTGAGAATTATGTAAGTTGCATTTTGCATAGAATTTTTTATATAGATATTTTTAAGAGCAACTTTCTGTAAGCATCAGGCAAAAATATAAATTTTTATTAGTGACCTCCTATAAATTGATAATTTTTTAATACGTTGTGACTATTTATATTAAAAACTTTATTTTAATTTAAAAAAAAATTCATTATTTCTCCAGTTATTGGACTTAGACTAATAAAATAGGTAAAGTAAACATTTTGGGCTGTCTAAATATCATGCTTCAAAAGTACGCAAAGCCTGATTTTTTGTCATTTTTGACCTTCATTTTCACACAAAGCCACAAGCATCCCTTATTTTTTTTAATCAAAAATATGGGGTGTTAGTGGCTTTGAGTGAAAAACTAAAAATAAACTTATCAAAAATTTGGGGTTAGGTTCAAAATTTAGCTCAAAAACGGAGTTACTATCAATTATCGCAACTTTTGCAATCTCATAATGGCTTTTTATCTTTTTCAGTTATTTAGACAAAAATAAACTTTTACTGTAAAACCAGGTCTTTACCTAAAATTAGCTAAAACCCTGGGTTTACAGTAAAAGTTTATTTTTTTAAAAGAGAATTGGCCATTTATCTTTCATCGAACCTCAAAGTTTGAGAGATATTAATAACAAAATGGTGTCAAATGCATTTTCAAACTTAAAATTAGAAAATAGAAAAAAGTTTAAAAAATATATGGTAGACAGATTGTCTAAATATCATGTTTCAAAATTACACAAAAATTGATTTTTTGTTCATTTCAATCTTCATTATCATCTAAAGTTTTTGGTATTCTATAATAATATTTTTTATTATAAGTCTTCATCCAAAAAAGTACCAAAAATATAAAAATAGCCATAGGGAGACAAATCTAAGAAGCTGTTCATAAATTACGTTGCAATATACAAAATGGGGGGGGGGGGAAGGTTTAATGAATTTTGCGACACTTTGAGATAAGAAAAAAAGGGTTCAAAAAACTCCAAAAAAGTACGTAAAATATACAGCATCAGCTCTAAATTTTTTAGTTTTTAAGATGCTTCAAGAAAACAAGAAGTCTTACCACAGAGCATTACAGAGAAATATTTAACTAGAAAGTTCACGCTTCCTTCCTTACCAATGTCGCTTGTGAGAGAGCCGGTGTCGAACCACAAACCTGTTGGTTCTGAGCCAGAGTTTTATCTACTGCGCCACAGCTGTTTTGATTTGGAATTTGCTATTATGAGGCTGTTCATAAATTATATCACGTAAAGTTTTAAGACCTCTCTTACCTTTTGCGTAAAATCTTAACCCGCTCCCACATTTTTGTGCAAATTAATTAATTATTTTAGGATCCCTAAGAAGTCCTTATGGTATTATCAAAAAGCACCGCGGTAGAGCATTTGAAAGGAAGTTCACATCTCCTTCCTTATCGATATAATTAAGACTTACCCAGAGGTGGCATCAAACCACGGATCTCTAGTTTTAGAGGCAAACACGCTAACCGCTATGCTACAGCTGTTCCAGATAAACGTTTTTCATTAAACTCTAAAAAATGATTTCACAACATTTAAACTTTGAAGGGTAACAACAATTTAACTTTGAAGGGTAGCATGACCAAACTTAAAATTGCAAAAATGATTTATCGTGATTATCTGATTTGGATAACAGTCTCAAAATTAGGGTTTTTATCTCAAAATTAATATAGAGGAAATCTTCTTGAAATTTAGTTAAAAAATAACTCAAAATAGCTTAATCGAGATTTAAATTTCAGAAAAAGAAGGAAAAAACAAAGAGTAATGAAAGAAAAGATTGCTGCCCCAGCCCAAATCCTTAATCGATGTATCGGCTCTTTTTTGCGACAGCAGGCTAAGATAGCCAATGTATCTACTAAAACCTTGTTTTTTAAAACCATTTTTAAGATTAGTTCTGTCTAATCATTTTTGAAATTAATGAATAATTTTTCATTTTGATTAGATAAAATTCGAGATAAATTCATTTTTCGAGAAGTTCTCTTTTTGAGATATGCTTTCCCTTTTTTCGAGAAAAAGTAGAAAAAAACCTATGGAAAAAGTGGAAAGCGTATCTTGATTAGAAAATCAAGATATACTTTCCCCTTTTTCGATAAGTTTTTTTTGAGATATGCTTTGCCTTTTTGAAGCACGATATTTAGACAATCTGTATACAATATATTTTTATACTTTTTTAGGTCTAAACTAGCTAATATATAATAATAAAATGAAATAACCATGGGGAAGTATGGGCATTATTCTAATTTTAAATTTGGAGTGCGTTTAACACAATTTTTTCAATAGTTTTGTTATATCTGTCAAACTTTGAGGTCCGATATCTAGAGAACAAATGAATTTTTTAATAAATTATTTTGAGCTTTATTTTAGTATTAATTTTCTAGTATAAATAGAAACAACATATTAAAAAAAATAAAATTTTGAAGAGGCTCCCTAACGAGTTTTGCCTCATTATTACAGATGGCGGCTCTCAATAAAAAAAGGTCTATAAGTTAGTAAGAAAAAAAGCCTGCAACTTTTTTTCTTACTATTGCCATACCCCATAGGTATTTTTTAAAATTATGATATATAAAAGGCCAATACTCGTTTTTGAAAACAAACTTTCACTTTAAACCCAGGGCTTAATCCATTATGAGGTAAAGCTCATGGTTTACAGTAAAAGTTTATTTTATCTAAATAACTTAACTAATTTTAACTAACTAAAAATTATGCAGTTGTGGCGTAGTGGTAGAGCGCTCACTTTATAATCAAGAAGTTCTGAGTTCAATCCCCACCACGTTCCAGTAGTACCACGCTCAACTTGTTTCTCCACGTAGCGGCCTTGTTCGTCAAGGTTCGTGTTTTTACCTTGGGGAGGTGAATCAACATTAGGAAAAAAATCCCATTATGAGGTCACAAAAGTTGCGTTAATTGACTTTAACTCCATTTTTAAGTTAGGTTTTGGACCTAACCCCTTAATTTCTCATAAGTAACTTGAGCAGCCGTAGCTGCTCAAGTTACAGTAGCGCAATTGTTAGCGTGCTTACCTCAGAAGCTAAAGATCAGTGGTTCAAACGCTACCTATAGGCAAGTTTTATAACATTGGTAAGGAAGGAGGCGTGAACTTTCTTTCAAATGCTCTTCCGTGGTGCTCTGTGATAAGACCGAATAAAAAATAATGAAAAAAAGGATTTGTTACTTTTTTAGGTACTGTACTAGATAAAGATATATGATATAAAAACAATAGGATGGTTATGGCTTAAGGTAAAAATAAGAGTCAAAAATCACCAAAAATCAAACTTATGTTCATTTAAAAGAAAATATTTATACAGGTCGAAATTTTTACTCTATCTATTTTATACTTTTTATTTCTAAATTATGACCAATAAACAATAATCAGGTGAAATACCTATGAAGAATGTATATAGTTTGTTCTTTTTTTATATTTAAAAATACTTTAAAAATTTGTAATTATCAATTTTTTTTAGAAAAACATCTGCCATTTTCAAAATATAAAGAAAATAAACAATTTTTAAAACAAATTGTGCTTATACTTAAATATATGCCGTATTAAATAGAAAGGTTGCCTGATTTCATAAATAAGTCATATCAAAATCATACCACATATCAAAATCATATCACATATCAAAAAAAAAAAAAAAAAAAAAAAAAAAAGAGGTCTGGATATGTTTAGCGCCATCTTTGAGAAAGGAGGCGTGAATACTTCCTATTTAAATGCTAATCCGCGGTGCTTTGTAACAAGACCGTATGGTCTTCTTGGGGCACCAAAAACAAAAATTTAGAAAAAAAAATTATTAAAGAAAATATGTTCTTTGAATTTCCTTATTTAGATAACATGACTATTGCAGATTAAGAAAACGTTACTATTCATTGTAAAAATGAAAAAGAATAATAATAATAAAAAATTACCCAGTTAAAAATACTAATTTTATATATTAAAAAAAAAAATTGTTTTCCATGATAAATAAAGACATTTTTGCCATTTATTCTCGATTCCAAACTTCTAAAACTTAATTATCACTGTTGTAAATTTAAATCTTGATATTTAGCAACAATTTCAAAATTTAAAAAAAAAAAGTTAATTTTTAAACTTAAATTTTGAAATTACTTTGAAAATAAGTTGTTTAATGTTGTTATTTACAGTTCCTTTTTAACTGTACTCAATCCTCCTTGCTTAAAATGTTTTATTTTTATATATAGTAAATAAAAATATTTTGAACAAACATTATTTAAATATTTTTAAAAACATCTCTGCTTTAGACAAAATGTTAATAAACTAAAACAATTTTTATTTAAAGCCTTACTAAGATTTTAGTTATTAAGTCAATAAACAACAATAATTTCTCTTTACTATAACAATAATAATAATAATAATAATAATAATAATAATAATAATAATAATAATAATAATAATAATAATAATAGTAATAATAGTAGTAATAATAGCAATAATAGTAATAATAATAATAATTATGTTATTCTTTGTATTTAAAAGAGGCACTAGTATTTATATATTAAAAAAGTAAACTATATTTTATATAATAAATTACTTATGACGCTAAATAAAAATCAATGTTCTCACCATCTAAGGTTAAAAATAGAATGATCACATTTAACAAAACCATTTTAATAGTAAAATGTGGAATAGTTACATTATTTAAAACTACAACATTTTTTCGTTTAATGATATTTTGCGTATGTTTTTTTTTCTTATTTAAAGATTATTATCGCAGTTGCATGTAATAAATGTTTCGTATTGCTAGGTTACGTTGCTCGAAGAAATCTTAAATCAAAGGCTTATATATATATATATATATATATATATATATATATATATATATATATATATATATATATATATATATATATATATATATATATATATATATATATATATATATATATATATATATATATATATATATATATATATATATATATGAATATATATGAATATATATATATATATATAAATATATATATATATATATATATATATATATATATATATATATATATATATATATATATATATATATATATATATATATATATATATATATATATATATATATATAATTCTTATTTACTCCCAATAAGGCTGCAAGCAATCACTAAGTTGGGAGTTATTTGCAAACAAAAAATAGAGTTATAGAGCAAGAAAACAGTTGACAAAAGACTTGAAAAGTTGAAGATTGTATGAGTCAGGAAAAAATAATGATGAGAGAGAGAGCTCCAAAGCATTGAAGTGCGGGGAAAAAACTAGATGAATAAAAGTTTTAAGAATATGCAAAAGCAGATACAGTAAAAGAATGAGACTTTGCCGGGTCAATAACGAATCAAACAAGAATGAGTTTTGGTTGATGGAACAAAAGATGATAGCTCCTTTGAGCAGCGACCATAATAGTATTTGTTGAAAAGAGATGGAGATACAACTTTACAACAATAGGAAAGAGACTCACACTTTGCAGATAAAGTAAGTCCAACTACGTTTACAATGAGTTTTTAGACCTTGTCGAAATAAAAAAGAGCATCATTAGAAGAACCAGCCTAAATATGACAACAGTATTCCATACAGGAACGAATAAGAGGCAGAGAATAGAATCAGCAGTATGATAATTGCCAGCATAATAAAGAGAAGCAATCCAAGCAGATGCTAACTTAGCAATTGTTTGAGTATATAGTTTTCATGAGAGGTTAGTAGTGAGCAATAATCCAAGAAGACGTAAAGAAGAGGACTAGTGAGGGGTTTACCACTAATTAATATAGGAATGATGACAATATTGTTATTTAGATGTGACAATGTTAGACAATATTGCTGTGATAGATGTTTGCAGTAAATAGCAAGTCACTGCAAGCCTCAATCTGTTACAAAAGTGAGATCAGAATCAAGATCGGCTGCCTGTTTTAAGCAATTGAAAAGAGAAAATATTATGTCGAGACAGGAGTATAAAGTTGTATTGTCAGCAAATAGAGCTAATTTAAATATAAAGTTATCAGAAAATGCTAAATTTTTTCGAAAACTTTAGTTATGTAGAAAGTAATAGCTCTTGCCTCGCCGTCTCCATCTAATACGCAATAAAATATTTGATAACAGCAGTTAGCAAGTCAACCGTAAAACGAGAAGATCAAAAACCGTATTGATTGTCTGACAATCAACACTGTTTTGATGACCAAGGCCACATGTTACAAGACCAAGACCTAGGTCAAAAATTTTAAGACCAGGACAAGGCCAAGGTCAAGACCAAGTATTAGAATTGCAAGTCAAAAAGGCCCATGCAAACATTTTTAAGACCAAAGACTTAAATTTTTGCTTTACGTTAAGGCCAATTGTTAACAAAACTGTATTTAGCACGTGCTGCGACAATAAAACCACATGTTGTGAAATTAGATCAAGGTTATGCGTAGAATTCTACGTCAATAAAAAAATATACTTGTAGATATATATGAAAACCAAAAAAAATAATACATAAAAATAAAGAATAAAAACTTTTAATTCTTGAACTTTATGTATTTTTTTTGAAGGCTAAGGCCAAAACAATCAAGGCCAAGGCCAAAAGTTTCAAAGCCAAGGCCTTAATTTTGCTTACAACAAAGAAAGTTTAATGCTGGTTTGTCAAGATAGTGGAATGGCCTGGGAATTTACCAGACTTATCCAATAGATAGGTTGATGTACTGAGAACTTCAAAAAGTAGTCAGTTTTAGCCAAAACGTATTAAATTGGTGCTTTAAAATAAATGACATTCAACAAAACTTTAGTTGATAGTTTTTTTTTATACTTTTTAACTAGGAATTTAAATGTAGGAGTTAAAACTAGTTTTATTATGCTTTTGGTATTTTTTTTAGATCAATGTATTTTAGCCACAACTGTAGCCATAATACTTTAATGATATCACCAAATTTTAAGCAATTTAAATCACACCAGTTTCAATCACTATGTGACTAAGGTGTAGTAATAGAACTTTTGTGATATGTAAAATAACCTCCTCACTCTTAGATGTGTAACATCATTCAATATGATTCCCTCAGCTGCAGTGGTACGGTAAACCACTACATACAGACTTTTAATATCAAAAAGAGTGAAAATCTTTTATAGCCTCAACAAGAAAACTAAGTTTCAGTTATATATATAAGAAAACTAAGTTTCAGTTATATATATATATATATGTTTTTGCAAACTGAGAAAATCGATGTCAAAGTTTGAATTTGTTCGCAGCTAAATTGAAAAAATATTTTGAGAATTTAGGTATTTCCTAAGATTTAAAAATGTTTATTATTAATTTTTAGATAAAAAAAACTTTTTAAAATTACGCTAACGCCCTTTTTTTCGCACCCTCTTTTGGAGATTTTTTTTCGAGGTAACTTCCAGACATGGAGCAAACTTCAAACATTTATATTTTTATACTTACGTCAAATAATGAGGCTTTGCAAAAAAAAAACGCGATTATTAGAGGCTGGGAATGAAAATGCCCTAAAATTTTTAACCCTCTGCCCCAAACGTGAAAGCAACAAGTTGATAAAATGTTTTTTGTACTATTCTTAACTAGACTTACTTAAAATTTTTTGGAGAGTTTTTAGTAAAATTCAAAAATATTATGTTGTTACATCATATATATTAAACATATTAAGTACATTTTTCAACAACGACATGTTAGAAATTGATGAAATTTTGTTCTACCTGCTAACTATTCTTACGCAGTACCATACACTCCTAATTTTTGGGCATGGGCCCCTAAATTAGGGGCATGGGCCCCTAATTTAACGGGTCCCTTTTCAAAATATAAGACGCTTTTTGTATTACCTAAAAAATTAAGTTTTTTTAAATAAAATGAGGCCCTAATTAGGAGAACTTTTAGAAGAGCCTCTAACGACACTGTTCTTACGACTTACATTTACTTTAATTACCTGTAGGCGCCGGCCCTGGACAAGACTAAGACGTCTAATTTAAAACGGAAAATTTGGCTGCGTAATAATAATATAAACGTATTAATATAATATAAACGTATAAAATAAATTATGAAAGGTATATAGGAAAGAGTTATGTTAAAAAAAATGTAATAATAAAAGAAATAACATTATGTAACTATCTGATAATTCACAACAATTCAACTCTAATCACAAACTCCATGCAAGATGAACTTGATTTTATTTTTCTTATGCCTGTGTATCCATTAATAGAGTTTAACTTTTTATTAAAAGTTATTGCAAATATTTACAAATAAAAAATTGTTACTCAAGTTAACGTCAGGAAGGGCATCAGGTTGTGAAACATTGCTTTAACTCTTTCATAGTGGCCTTTATGTCACTATGGAAAACCATCCAAACCGTTTGGTTTGGATGGTTTTCCAAGTGGGGGAAAATGAATATAAAAGTACAAAAAAACAAACAAAAAAAACACAAGCTAAACAAAAATTTTTATCAAGATTTCAAAATAATATTATTTCAATGTGTTTTATATTTATATTTATACTAAATAAATATTTTATTTAAATATGTTATTTATATGTATATTATTTATATTATTATATATATATATATAAATATGTTATTTATATTTATACTAAACATATAACAACCCTAAAAATATTTTGACTTTATTAATGTTTTGTAAATGTTCAATTTATTATTGTTTTATAAAATGCAATATCAACAGCAGGCATGTATGAATACATGGAAATGATATCATTGTCTTTTGCAACAGATATAGACTGATAAGAAGCACGAAAGCAAGCTGCCATTGGTATATTGGTATTTAATGGTTTTGCAACAATGGTTGATGCTGCTTTCTTGACAGACTTATTTATACGAGCTTGTGAATAATTATCTGAAAACGAGGTTTTAAAAAAAACATGGTATGGCAGTCCGTTTCGATAAACAAGATTTTTAACCTTTGAATAAGGCACTAACTTATAACTTGACAAACCAGCGACAACTGAAAAATTCTTTACATCTCCTAATTGCATTTGGTAAACACAGAAAGGTTTTTTACGGTTTACATTTTTAATAGCTCTTTCTAGCCCAAGTGGACTAAATATTTCTGCAGCAGAGAGGGATTTTTCAATCTGACTATGAATTCACATTTTTGAATGCTGGAATGACCTGGCTCGCAGAACTTCTGTTCAATTACTTTTATTTGTGGGTATCGTATTATAAATTCACACAAAGCTGCTGACATGAAACTATTGCGGTTTTGTGGTACACATGAATCGAACCAAAGTATGAACTTATTTATGTCAAGGTCAGCCATGATTTTCAAAAGCAAACATGATACAGCACAGGCTAGATCATTTCCTCCACGACCAGTCATGGCTTCGTGCCAAAGGATGCAATAACCCTTCCTGTTAAGCGAGCAATGACCAGTTAAGTTATAATTTGAAAGTTTTCGTTTGTAATAAAAGTTTCCCACATTAGCTCTAGGCAAATTTAAAACATTTTCAAGGTCAATACAAACAATTGCAGTTTTAAAATCAACATTTTGGCAATCATTTTCACGTTCAGTTTTGGTATCATTCCTTGATTTTATGTGCTTATTATAACTATCTGTTTGTTCATTGCTTGCATTAACAATGTTGCGATACTCATAGCATGTGTCACATAAATCTTTCTTCGGTTTTTGAAATTCTATATTGAACTTGTGATTAAAGATATAACGATACATATGTTCTTTTGCTGGAGGAGAGACATTTTCATCACA